CTGGAAGACTCGCGGCCCCGCAGGGTTCCCCGATGAATGTGGGTCCTCTCTTTGGAGCCCTGGGCCGCTCGGCCGCGTACCCATTCCGGGCGACGGGCTGTGGTTGGATCGCGCGCTGCATTTTCTGCCTCCTGGTGCAGATTGCTCGGGGAGCCAGCGACGGGGTCACCGGCCCTTCCTCCCTCGCCCAGTACACTTTATTTCCTGGAGTGCGGTTGGGAGTCAGTCTGCGGTCTTCCCACGCTCAGCCCCATTCTCAAGTGATTATCATTTCGGGGGGACAGGCAACCAGATTTCCTTAAGGCCTGCATCAGCTTGGTGGTACTTACCCTAGCATCCCTCGCCAACTTGCCCCGCGCCCCCCACCCCCCAATACCCTGCGGCCCAACCTCCCCATCCAAGCCCTGGGGAGAGGAGCGTTCAGAGCTAAAGGTCCCAGCCTGGGCAATACCTCGACTGTTCCTGGCTGTGCGGGTCTTTCTCCGGCTCCGCTCCTAATTAAGGCGGTGCACCGTTCTGCCAATGACTCGGCGAGTGTGTTGGGAGGGGTGGGGGCGGGGAGGAGGATCCCCTGGTGGGTTCCCACTTTAACTTCCGGTGCTGGTGGGGCAGCTCAAGGCTGTGGCCCCCTTCCTGCGGTTTCATGGCCTGCCTGGTACAACACCCAGAGGCCAGCAACTTTCGCGGAGGCGCGGATGCGGGCAGGGTGGACGCGGGCACGGCGATGATCTCTTCTTGGGTTCTCGGGAATGCCCATGTTTGCTACGCCCACAGAAGAGCCTCTGGATTTGAAAATCCGTTTTCCTTGGGCTGTGATTGTTAGCTTTCATCAATCACGCTCCAACGCGAAGTAGAACCTAGTCCTTGGGCCTGGTGGGCGGGGGCTTGGCAGTTGTGGGGGACCCTAGTGCGGGATGTTGACCGGCTGCCAAGTGCCACGTGCCAGGACATTCTTTCATTTACCAGAGAAAAGAGAGTGAGAGAAACAAAAGGCAGGGCAGAGTCAGTTAGTTGCTTTCAAGCCTCAGAGAAAGGACAGATGTGCCCATTGTCCCGGCATTTGGCAGTTACGCCCATCTGCGCTGAACCGCAACCCAGGTCCAGCGGTGGTCATAGTAAAGGCAGACAGCCTCCCAGAACCTTGGGCTATCTGTAGAGGAAGGAACCATGTGCATGTGGTCTGCGCTGGGTCAAGCTCCGACTGTGTGGTAGACTAGTATAGTCCACAAGTGGTGTTTGCCAGAAATGTTTCCAGATCTTCTGGAATTGGGATGGTGGTGGTTAATGGCTGGATTTCCAAGGAAAAAAGATTGGGCCAGGCATCCGTTTAGGTAAACACTCCACCAACTTAAGCATGAGCATTGAGCCTAAGTCCCTGTAGCTAACCACCTGTAGAACATCAATGACCTTAGCCTTGCCCTGGGATTGACTACTCTGTCTGGTTACATCACCAGAGATACCTCTGTCTTGTCCAAACCATCCATACGGAGGCCCTGTATATGCTTACTTGCACAGTGAACATTTTAGATATCCTGGGATCCCCACAAAAGAAGGGGTCATTGGGAAAATTTCACAGACATAAAGGAACCAAGGAAACAGAACCATTCCATTTAAATTTATATCTACCCCTATCTTTGATTCCTCTTTGTGTCTGTTCGCTTTTCCGGCCTCTGGAGCATGAAGGAGACTAGACAATGGATGAAGTGACTGTCAGCCTTTGAGCTGAAGTGCTGCCCCCCTCCCCTCTATCGTAATCCCCGCCCCTCCAGAATGGATTGATTGGCCTTATGACAATTCTCTTCCCCAAAGGCAGTTTGTTAGAAGAAAGCAGTAAATACCACCAAGAGCACAGATTGTTCATGGTTTCCTCTTTGTATAGCTGAGGTTTCCTCTTTGTATAGCTGAGGAGGGACTTGATCTGGAAACCCTTTGGATGTGAGACTTCCAGCTGAGCCCTTGGAGGCCACCTGAGGAGGGCTGGGGTCAGGTGAGTTCAGTAGACCTCCTCAGAGGCAACTTGATAAAGAAGAAGGTCTGGTTTGGTCTTGGCCCCTAAGGGAGGAGCCAACGGAAAGATTGGCATGTGGGTAACATGTTGGATTTTGTTGGTTCAATGCTTCCTTTGGTATTTTTTCATATATTCATATCTTTTGTTCCTATATATTTTAATGCATGTGTACATTTCCCCAATTCTTCTTAGCTACTTCTTTTACATAACTTGTAGTTGACTAAGTCAGAGTGATTTTTCAGTCAGAAACATTCTAACTTGACTGACCTCTTGGGAAGATTGCCTATTGTTACAAAGGATGTGTGAAAAAGTGTTTACTTATGTTTTATTGACTATGCAAAGTCATTCGATTGTATGGATCATGTCTAATTATGCATAACATTGCAAAGAATGGGTATTCCAAAACACCTAATTGTGCTCCTATGGAAAACCCATACATAGACCAAGAGGCAGATGAACATATTAAACAACGGACACCATGTGGTTTAAAACCTGAGAAGGTATGTGTGAGGGTTGTATCCTTTCACCATATTTATTCAATCTGAATATATGTTAATTAATCAGAAGCTGGACTATATGAAGAGAATGAAAGGAAGATGCATGAACAGCCTGTGAGATAGAGAGATACCACCTTGTTGAAAGTGAACAGGACTTGATGCACTTACTGATAAATATCAAAGACTACATACAGCTTTTAGTGTGGATTATAGTTTAATATAAAGAACACAAAAGTCCATACAGCTGAATCAATAAGCAAGGTCACAATAAATGGAGAAAATATTAAGGCAGACGAGATTTCATTTTACTTGGATCTACTCACAACATCCATGGAAGAAGCAGTCAGGAAGGATGTATCACATGGAGCAGATGCTGCAAAAGACCTCCTAGAGTGTTGAAGAGCAAAGGTGTTTCTTCAAGCTAAGCTGTGACTAGTCCAAGCCTTGGTATTTTTAAGCACCTCATATGTACGGGAAAGCGAGACAATGAATAAAGAAGACTGGAGAATAACCAACACTTGAATTAGGGTGCTGGCAAGGAAAATTGGGTATATATATATATACATATATATATACATATATATATATATATATCATGTAGTGCTGGCGAGGAAAAGTGAATGCATATATATATATCATGGACTGCCAGAGAATAAGCAAATATATTTGGGAAGGAGTATAGTCAGAATGTTCCTAGGGCATATTATCAGAGGTCCCCTGGAGAAAGACAAAATGCTTGGTAAAGTAGAGGCTCATTGAAAAAAAAGGAAGACCTTCAACAGATAGATTGACACATAGGTCGTTGTTGCAACAATGAACTCAAACAGTGACAATGTGAGGGTGGCTTCCACTCAGGATGGAGGTACACAGAGTTACTATGAGTCGAAATCAACTTGGTGGCATCCAACAAGAGCAAGGACGTGTGATGGATGGGAAAGATGCTCTTCTCAGCTAATGTGCACCTGTGTGTGTGTGGAGGGTCCCTGGACAATCTAGACAGATTGTAGACTGCTGGAGAGCTGGGATTACATCTTGTAATTTTTTCTCACTCTTCAGTACCCAGCACAATGTCTGGTGTCCATACTGCACATTAGGAGAGACAAAAGAATAGAAGAAGGTAGAGCCCAATGAAGGATCCCTTCATACTGCTTGGTAAGTCAGTGTGTGTGATCCAAGACTGCAGCTCAATTCTTGGTAACAGAAAGGGAAAAAAAGTTGAGGGGAGGACTTATTTTCAACTGCCTAGATTTTGAGTAAGGTAGAGAATTTAAACAAGCAAAAAAATAGCACTGCATACATTACAGATCACGGAGTAGGTGCGTACTATTGGCAATATTTCCTGTGTGGAAACAGATTTCAGGCTGTTTAATTTTAAATGTCAGGAGAGCCTGGAATCTGGGTAATAATTTCTCCTATGCTGGGTGGGCTAGAGCTCACAAGGCAAGCCCCCTGAATTCAGGAAAGGAAAATGAAATGAGGCCTTTCCTTTATATACTGACCACCCAGCTTCTCTGAGAGAGAGCCTTCCAGCTCTTTTCAGAAACCCCTCTTTTGTTCTCTGGGTGAGTTACATATGAGTGGTAACATATGACCTAGTCCCAGTTTTGAGGCCCATTCTGAAGAAATGTTTCTAGCACACCTTGTGTTTATTTTCTATGGGGTAACCTCATACACAACAAGTCTAGATGTCAGGTCAGATGCCCCTCACCCAGGATTCTAAGGGTAGGTAGGTTGAAGCCTTGGCCAAAGCCTCTGAACTGGACTCATCGGTATTTCCCATACCTGTTTTGAGACTAGAATTCAACTCCTGGCGAGGAATCATTTCTCTGGATCACAGTATTTCAATGGAGCCCTTGGTAACTGTGGGACAATGGTTGGTCTTGAAGGTCCCCACAGCCACCCTATAATCAGTCAATTGCTGTTGACTTAGAATGGAACACCAAGAAATTCATAAGGAGGTGGCCTGATGAGTCACTATTAAAAAATAGCCAGTGGAAAAAAATAGCCAGTGATTTCTCCCCATTCTTGTGGGTCAAGGCTATTCTAGTCTCCTCATTCAATCTTTGACTTGGAACTTAGTGTATTTCTTTTATCATGGTTTACAACGGGCTTATTGAAGAATGCTTGTAAGAATATAAGGACTTCTGATTTGCCACTTAAAAAAAGTTCAATTTCTTCATGCCCTATAATAAAGGTCATGTAAGAGGTTACAGAATTCCTGTACCTGGAGTTCTTTGTGAGTATATAGCACATTCCTGCTTCTGTATGACAAAAATTAAAGTCTCTTCTATACATCTCTTCAAAAAAGCGACAATCACAGAAAATGGCACAAGTCATTTCTCCTCTTCCTTCTGTAGTATTGGAGCCAGTATTTTTACCATCACTGCCTACAATTTTCACTTTATCTACTTCAATACGCTCTGTCCCCTCCACATAATTCAAAACAAAAGTCCTCCTATTATTGGAGAATCTGTACAGCTTCAGAAAGGCCCTGAAAGGGACTCCGTTTCTGATTGTTCTGGGCGTCCGTGTTGATTTTTTAACCGCTATGGAAGTAGAACTTGAAAGGTAAGGACAGC